CTGGCAGTTACATCTCTTTCCTACTAGAAGGTTAAAGTTCACCTTATAACAAACAATAATAAATTCGCTTTTTTTTTTTTTTTGCAGGTAAAAAAAAATGTGCATTTTATTGTTTTTTTGTTTCTGGAGCCTGTAAAGCATTGCACCAGCGATCAGCAGATTGTTGGTGCCATGCAGGTTTCCTGCCGATTGTTAGTGCAGCCTTTCTGAACCAGGGTGCCTTGAGGTTTCTTCAGGGGTGCCTTGGCAAAATGTCTAAAAATTGCCCAAAACTTGTATAGAAGTCAGCGGGTGGAACAAGCCTGACTTTTAGTTACATAAAGCCACAGGTTTTCATTGTGCATCATTACAACCTTCTAGCTGCTGGCGTCCTGATAACCAATGCCATCAGTTGATAAGGAGGATGTCAGCTGCCAGCACAGCATCCTAGTTTGACCCTCCCCTGCCCCTCTCCATCAGTGCTGGGTTCACATTAGCTCACTGATGGAGAAAAACTGAAGGAGAAGAGAAACAATGGCATACTAGTCAGTACCAGTGTGCAAAAGTGCATTTGCTTTGAAAGAATAAATCACCTCTAATGTGGGGTATCTTACGTGTGTGGATGTTAGAATAGTCTTTCACAATTTAGAATGGGGCACCCACATACCTGAAGTCGACAAGTGTGGGCAGAGGTTAATACAGAGGAAAATGAGAGAAAAAATAGTCAAAAAGAGCATGTCATTTCTGCTTAAAACATTTCACTTAACAAAAAATCTGCTGTAACATCACTTTAAGTAATAACAGCTTGGTCAGTGTGCTCAGCCTGTGACTGGACAGCGAAGGAGCAGCAACAGGATAGGCAGTTAGCGGTCTACTCTCCCCTCCTATCAGCATGTTCCTCACCTAAAATGAAAGTTACACTTTTTCTCCTCCTCCACCCCTCCTTTCTTTTTTTTCCTGGTACCTAGTTTTGACAGGTACCCGCTCCCACTTCCAGATTGCTTAGACGATCTTAGCGGAAATTCTCCCACCCCACTTACCAATGGGAGATGTCACAGGTCCCAGGAGGCTGTGGGTCCATTCACAGAGCACAGCAGTGCATTCACAGGGGAAGTATTGTTGCTGTATTGTCTCCCGTTATATTGTAAAGCGCTGAGCAAACTGTTGGCGCTATATAAATCCTGTATAATAATAATAAAAGTCACAAGCAAGATGGCGGTGCTGGGGACCCGAAGACTAGTGAAGAACTGCCCCAGGTGAGTACAGCACTGGACCCCTGGACTGGTAAGCCTTCGTTCACACTGATTTGGTGTTTTCAGTACAAATTCTGCATCGCATCCCGTTCACATGGACTGATGTGGGTGTGTATGCTAACGACACCCCCACATCGATCCACAAAACGCGGTGCAAACTGCTTTAAAAAGCTTGTGTTGTGCTTTTCAGGTGTTTCCACTAAAGTCTTTGGTTACAAAAAACTGCCTGAAAAGTAGCTCATGTACTTTTTTTGAGGAGAGGCATTTTGCTACAAATGACTGGATCATCTGATGTGAACAAGGGCTGTTGAAAACAATAAGTTTTTGCTTGTTGATCATTTTAACGCTCTAGTGTGAACAGGGCCTGAAAGTCAACTACAGTATTTGTAGCTGCTGACTTTTATTTGTTTTTAGAAACGACTGTAACTCCTTTTTAACAGTATGTATACATGAAGGGACCTGATTGTCCTATGTGCCATCCCCCCCTTTCCCAGTCTGAGGTGTGTTGTACTGGGTATTACAAGAAACTCAAAATCCTGCAACAAAAACGTTTTTTTTTTTTTTTAGCATTTTTGCATTAGCTTTTTTCAGCTTTTTTAGTGTGTTGTAAAACACACTAAAAAAGCTGAAAAAAGCTAATGAAAAAATGCTAAGAAGAAAAAAAAAAAAAAAAAAATCAGTGTAAACTAAAAAAAAGATTCTAGAGATAGGTGGCCATGGGCTGACGGTGAGTGTACATCCATGTGGGGACCAGTCTGAGCACAGTGGAGCCCCTGTCACTTTAATACGGAGTTCACAATCAAGAATCCAGCACGATTGCACTTTCATTTCACATATTGGGATTGCACCCTAAACCAGTTTCTAGATGTGTGTTGTTTAATACTACAACTCTGGATATTAATTTGTATTGTTTATATCATTTATGTGCGGCAAGAAACAAATGCTAAACGCTACTAATGTGCTCCTAACAGCTTTTTTTATAGTTTTTTTTATTTTTATTTTTTTTACTGTAAAAACACTAATAAAACACTACTAAAGAAAACAGTGGGTTTTTTTTATCCAGCATTTTTTCCAGCGTTTTTTCACCTTAAAGCGAAGCTCCACCCAAAAGGGAAGCTCCGCTTTAAGGACTGCTCCCCATTGAGGATTGGCACCTTTGAGGAGCAGGTACCCGAATTTGACAGGTACCCACTCCCACTTTCGGCCGAATCGCCTAGGCGAATGGAAGCGGAAGGTGTCCTCCCTCCCTGTAGTCTTTTGGGACACGTGACAGGTCCCAGAAGACTACAGGACCATTCATTAAGTGCAGCGCTTCTCGCGCATGCGCAGTGGGTACCTGGCTGTGAAGCCGCAAGCTGTCACAGACGGGTGCTCACACTGAAGATGCTGGCCTCCTGGAATACAGGACGGCCGGTGAAACGGGCTGCGGGGGACACACAGCGGGACCGTGGAACAGGTAAGTGGCTGTTTTTTAAAAGACAGGGTGAGTGGAACTCCGCTTTAAAAAAAACACTAGTGTGCATGGAGCCTTAAAGTGGACAGGCTTTACATTAAAAATACCACGGTGCGTACGGTCTCTTTGGCTTTAATAACAACAACTCATCATGTTTATTCCTGTAATTTGCAAAGCAGTCACCATATGTTTCATTTGAGCATGACAAAACCTACATTGATTTATTTTAAACCTTTTCATGTACACTAATCATAATTAAATATCAGTTGTGAATCCCAATAAAAACACAGAATTCAGTTCTAGTTGCTTAGCTATCCAGGCTGCTAAAAACTGCCCCATACTTTTCTTTCATTGTCAAGGTATTCAGGTTCATATCTTGTATTTGTATTTAATGACTGCTATGCCATCATTGTTAGGTATCTGAGTAACACAACAGGATATTATTTAATTTTGTATGATGTTGGATAAGTAGTATGACGTGTTTGTTTAATTATGCGCTATGACCTAAGCGTGTTGGTATGGTTGGCTTTGTGCCTGGTGGGTCCGGTCGTACTGGGTTTCAAATATTCTCTTTATTTACATATGTTTATTTATTGTTCATACACAAATGCTATGCATTACTCTGTCAGAGAAGAAGCATGTTAATTAATATGTCATTATTGTTTTCATTACCCTTCTTCAAACAGTTAAAATTAATGTCAGCTTAGATTAAAGTGGAATTGCAGGCTCAGGGGAAAACTTACAACATTCAAAAGTACCCATTAAAGGCATAGTTCACATTTTGCAAAAAAATAATAAATGCACCCAAATACTTTTTTTGCTTTGGAGCCTGCAAATCATTGCAACTGAAATCAGTGGATCATGGGTTCAATGCTCAAACTCCTGCAGACTTTTCTTCTAGTCGCAGGTCTTTACCAAGGTACATCCCTTCAGTTATGGGACTGGAGGAATTGTCAATGGGCAACAACTGTGCTTACGTCATTACACTTGAGAACTACAATGTTGTGGTGGCAGATGGGAATTGTAGTTTGTTTAGTTCAGATTCCAGTGCCAAGCACAGCCACGCCAAATTCTTAAAATGGCAGAAGCCGGCAGGCAGAAGAACTCTTGGATTTTGTAAGAGAGTAATGGTTTAAGGGTGGAGGGCTGAAGATATTGGCCATGTTTCATGGTAAATCCTAAATATAGGTGTACCCTGAAACATGGTCAGAACGATGGACTTTTCTATAAGTTAAAGTGATCGTAAAGGAAAATTTTTTTTTATATTTTCAAATAAAAACATGTTATACTTACCTGTTCTGTGCAATGATATTGCACAGAGTAACCCCGATCTTCCTCTTTTTGGGTTCTCCACGGCACTCCTGGCTCTTCCTTGCCACTGAGCACACAAAGCCAGCTCAGAAGTGGGCTCGCTCCTGAGCCGGCTCCGTGTTTCATTAAGACACATTAAAGCAGAGTTCCACTCACGCTGTCAAAAAATAAAAGTTAGCAGCTACAAAAACTGTAGCTGCTGACTTTTAAAAAAACAGCCACTTACCTGTCCTTCAGTCCTGCTGTGTGTCCCCTGCAGCCCGTTTCACTGGCCATCCTGGATTCCAGGAGACCGGCATCTTCAGTGTGGGCACCTGGCTGTGATAGCTTGCGGCTTCATAGCCGGGTACCCACTGCACATGAGCGAGTAGCGCTGCGCTTCATGAATGGTCCTGTAGTCTTCTGGGATCTGTCATGTGTCCCAAAAGACTACAGGGTGGGAGGACACCTTCCTCTTCCGATCGCCTAGGGTACCCACTCCCCACCCGCCCCCCAAAGGTGCCGATCCTTAATGGGGAGCAGTCCTTAAAGCGGAACATCCCCTTTTGGGTGGAGCTCCGCTTTAAGTGCGGCTTGGCCCTGCCCCCACTCTCTCCTCACTGGCTGTGATTGACAGCAGCAGGAGCCATTGGCTGTGTCTGAGCCAAAGAGGAGGGAGAGACTGAGGATAACCTCTGCTTTGGTGCTCTTCGCTGGGTAGAGATCGGGCTCAGGTGAGTATAAGAGGGGCTGAGGGGGGACCTGCATGCAGAAGGTTTTTTACCTTAATGCATAGAATGTACTTGTAAAAAACCTTCTGCCTTTAGAACCACTTTAATATTTTTAAAGTAACTTTTGTATTCCTTATGTTACTTTACGTCTATAGCACTGTGCAGGAGCACATTCTCCATATTTGGGGTACTTAAATTAAATGTACATTTTATGTATATATACATATATTTAGTTTTTTTTTTTTTTTCTCCTTTTTTTGCTTCCAGAAAAGGCGGCGGCGGATTGACAGAAGTATGATTGGAGAACCAACAAACTTTGTTCATACTGCACATGTAGGATCAGGAGATGTATTTAGTGGAATGAATTCAGTAAGTAGTGCAATTCGTTAAATTACTTCTGTAAGCCGGGTGGCAACCCATGGTTTTGTAACTGAATGTTATTAGTTTTTGTCAGTTGCTAATGATTTCTGCCTGGAAGTAAAGCTCCAGCTTGACAAAGTATCTGATTGGACTCAACACGTTGTTGATATGATTTAAGGAGCATCTTAAAGCGGTAGTAAACTCCACCATAACTCTTTTCATTTATGGGCCCCCAGGAGCTTTATGTCAGAATGTTCTGGTATGCACCCTATATTAGCACATCATGACAGACTTACCTGTCAAACAAGCCTTCCAGTACTGTGTTGTCACCACTCTAGCATGTCCTGGGCATTTTCATCTTTTTTCCAGTCTTCTTTCTGGGTTCAGTTTCTCCGGATGCTTGAATGGCTGGGCTGTGATGTCTCTGTCGCACATGCGCACAGGAGTCACTTCACCATGGCACAGAGTGGGTACCGTAAATGTGGTCTGAGCTGTGCGGCGCAGATTACATTACTGCTGACAGGCTAGGAGAGGTTTTTATGATAGAAGATACTACTAGGGCAGGGGGGTGGGCAACTGTGGCCCTCCAGCTATTGTAGAACTACAAGTCTCTTGAGGCATTGCAAAACTGACAGTTACAAGCATGACTCCCAAAGGCAGAGGCATGATGGGACTTGTAGTTCACCAACAGCTGGAGAGCCACAGTTGCCCACCCCTGCACTAGGGTATCTTCTGTTATACAAACTCTGCCTGTCAGCTGTTTAAAAATAATTTACTATAATATTGCTTTATGGTTCCGTGCACACTAGCAGTTTTTTAAGCTAAAAAAACACTGGAAAAAACACTCTGGTAATAGCGGCTTTTAATAGCGTTCAGATGCGCTTAGGAGTGTTTGCGTTTTATTAGCGTTTTTAGGCTCCATGCACACTAGCATTTTTTTTTAAGCTTAAGAAATGCTGGGGGAAAGCGCTGGATAAAAAACTCTGGTAATTGCATTTTAGTGGCGTTTTAGTAGTGTTCAGAAGCGTTTAGGAGCATTAGCGTATTAGTGTTTTTAAAATACACGTAGAGAAAAAAAAACTGGAAAAAAGCTGTTAGGAGCGTTATAGTAGCGTGTAGTTTTTTTTTTTTTTCTGCTGGAAAAACACCCAAAACAAAACTCTACATAGACAATTTTTTCTGCTCATAGACACTGAAGCTCAAAAAAATGCTAATAGCCCAAAGTAGTGTGCATGGACACATAGGAAACACTATTTAGCTTGTAGGAGCAGAAAAAACATATGCTGATAATAACTTCTAGGAGCTTAAAAAAACGCCAGTGTGCATGGAGCCTTACAGTACATGGAGAGGAAAAAAAAAATCAAGAAGCTAGAAAAAAAGCTGTTAGGAGCATTTCAGTTTAGCATTTTTCTGCTTTAAAAACGCTCCAAAAAACAATTTTTTTTTTTCTGCCCCTAGACGCTGAAGCTCAAAAATGCTAAAAGTAGTGTGGACACATAGGATAACATAGAAAAAAAATGCTTCTAGGAGCTTAAATGCTAGTGTGAATGGAGCCTAAAGGAGAAGTACGGCCAAAGCTATTTTAGCCCTGCTTCTCCTGTGGGTCACAGGAGGGCAGTTAGTTCTGCACCCCTGTGACCCCATATTCAGCTGACAGAGGGCTAAAATCTGCTGCCAGCTGACATCACTCAGCCATTCTAAGCTCTGGAGACATCCTGTCTTTAAAGTCAGGATCTACTCAGATTCCTGACTGGCAGCTGGCTCAGCCTGTCAGTGTGCTGCTGAGAACCTGAACCAGTTGCCTCTTCCACAGCCCAGCGCTCCAGTGAGTGCTGGAGGGCAAAGCAGAGAGAGGATGATTGACAGTCACTGTCCTCTGCTCAGTGAAGATCGAGAACCAAGCAACCAGCGGTCTTTGATTGTTTGGTTCTCGATCTGAAGCCTAGTACACACGATCAGAAAACCGTATGGAAAATTAGTGCTTTCAAAGCAATCATACGACAATCTGATTGTTAGTACACAGCGGGGGCTTTAGAGGCAACAGGGGACAGGTGCAGCATCGGACTGATTCTGCATCCACTTGGTAAGTATGAATGTTTGTTTTTTGTTGTTTTTATATATTTTTTTTTTTTAAGTCCTGCACTTCTTTAAACTGTGCACTAGTCATGTATGGATGCTTTTTTTGGAAGTTAAAGCATATTACATGGGTTTCCTTGTGCTGATCTTTATCAAGAGTACCTGAATGACTCCTTTTTATTCTTGTGTAAACACATCTACCTGTTTGCACAAAACCTACTTTTTTTACTTTTAAATTCAAGTTTAGACTGCCACCTGAAGGATGTTGTTTAGCAACACAGTCTAAATGTGCAAAAATTCCAATCTCTATAGCCCTGATGTTGCATTAAAAGCTAGATAATGACTTAATTAAGTCACATTCCATTAGTGAAGAGTAATTTCAGTGTTGTAAAAATTGTACACATCTTCATAGTAATCTTGCAGTTACACAGGAGTTGTGCAATCATGTAGGCCTGCTTGTTAATCTGCTCTGTCCTCAACAAAGGCAAGATAGAGCTTATCTTCAGAGGTGAGGGGATGTGTGCTGAGCCATTCAGGATATATTTAGCAACTACTGTTAAAGGGATGTATGCTGTGACAAAGAAAGTGCTGTGTTGGGTGAGCCCATAGTACAAAATGCACAACTATTATTTATGGTTTAAACAAAAAGAGATGTGCAGCTGCAGTGGTGTATTATGTAGTGACTACAATATCCCTCAACCATTATATTGGAAATCTAACCTTTTTTTTTATAAAGCCGAAGCAGTGCTAATAAAAATAAGTATCTATTGTAGCTATAGACAGGTGGTTGAAATGTACTCACCATGTTTACCATGAGAAAAGAGCCACATGGTCACCAGAGTTTTATTTTTATATATATATTATATATATATATATATATAATTTAAAATTAAAAAAAAAATATATATGTATATAAATATATATATATAATTTTAATTTTTAAATTTTTTTTTTTCTGCAATACATATCGGTGATCTAATGATACCTGTCATTAACTTTTCACCTGTTCGACTGACATCTGGGTGTTCTTGTTCAATTCCTGGGAATTTTTTTTTTAAATGTTTATAACACCTGTTAGATTTTTATTGCTGTCTGTGTGCCTGTTATGCAGGCCATAGACGGGTCGTTTATCGGCCGAATTTTCATCCGCACGAATAATCGGTCGATATTCACGCCGTTAGTGGGGCAATGCCGTCGGATGTTTTTCGTGGATCTTCTAGTTTCTTTTTATCGGTCATACTAGAAAATCCACAAAAAACAGACATTGGTGCCTGCAACAGCATCGACTGATTTTTCATTTATCGGCCGACAATTCAACCGATTTTTCATTTATCGGCCGACAATTCGGCTGATAAACGGCCCGTCTATGGCCTGCATTAGGGAGATTCACCATTTCTATATGTCTTGGTGACTGTTATCACCAAAAGTGGAAGAAAATCCCAAACTTTGAGGTCACCAGACCAAAATTAGAGGGGAAATTTTCCAAAATGGATACTAGTTGATCTTGGTGACTATCAGGCATTTTATTCACTTCCCGTTGTGGCTATGGGACGGGAAGTGACTGGACATCTCCCCAATTGGACACAGATGAGCAAAAAAATTTTCAGGGGTTTTAACTCTCCCTTACTTTATCCAAAATGGGGAAACAATTCTCTCAGTTTTACTTTAAGTACGGTACTATCATTATATTTAAGTTGGACTAAACCCATCGATTTAATTGTTTCAGAAAACCATTAAATTCCCAGCATGCCTGGAATGCTAACTGTCGCATTTGGTTGTGCTCTCAACCAAACTGTCAAACCATCAAATAGCCGGTGTTATAACTGATCAAATGTGCAGCACCATGGCAGTTGCAGATCAGACAGAGGCTAAGATGGCAGCTCCCTTGGCTGAAAAGGATAGGAGGGTTTAGTTCCGCATTAATACACTGCTTTGTTAAAACACCTTTTAGCATTTCCTTAAGTTTATTAACAAAGATAAGACTTTAAACTGACATTGCTAGAGAGCAGTTAAGATTTCAAATAACTGTGAAATTCATTTTTACTTATAACATATTTGAAAATGATGTAAATTACATATTATATATCATGCTGACTCTACACATTTTATTATGTTCCAATATTATTGTACAGCGCTGAGCAAACCCTTTGGCGCTATATAAACTCGTAGTAATAATAATAATAATAATAATATACTATACTTAGTTTCTTTATATCATTCTTTGTATAACATAATCTGTGTCATCAGATGATTCTATAGTATGTGGCGCTCAGCTTCTAAATCTCGGCTCCAATAGTACGGACACTAACTTGTTTCTCTGGTATGTTGTAGGTGAGTTCCATCCAAAACCAAATGCAGTCAAAGGGTGGTTATGGTGGCAACATGTCAGCGAATGTCCAGATGCAGCTGGTGGACACCAAGGCTGGATAACCTTAGTTTTTCCTGGTTAGTATGTTATGTGTCTCACTTTTATGTGTTTTTGTGATTGAAGGAACAAGAAAAAGTTTGTATGGAGGCATAGCCAAAGACCTGTTGACAAGCGGGTGTATTGTATTATCTGAAGGAGAGACAGTCATACCTGGGCATAAGAAAGAATCTGAAGTTGTGACCCTTGTTAAGGTTTAGTTAACCACTTGCCTACCAAGCACTTTCACCCTCTTCATGCCCAGGCCAATTTCCAGCTTTCAGTGCTTTTGTACTTTGAATGACAATTGTGTAGTTGTGCAACACTGTACCCATATGAAATTTTTATAATTGTTTTGCTCACAATTAGAGCTTTCTTTTGGTGGTATTTAATTGCCACTGGATTTTCTATGTTTTGAACTATAAACAAAAAAGAGCAAACAATTTGAAAAAAAATGTTTGTTGTTTCTATTATAAAATTTTGCAAACAGGTAAATTTTCTCCTTCAATGATGTGCGTTGATGAGGCTGCACTGATAGGTGGCACTGGTGAGGCAGCACTGATGGAGGCACTGCTGTGTGGCACTGCTGGGCACTTTTGCAGCTGCACTGATAATCAGTTCCCTGATTATCAGTTCAGATCTGCTCTGTGGCATTTGGTGGTTATCGGCAGTACTTTCCTCATGCTGTCACAGCGTGAGGAAAGTGCAGCCGATAACCGGCAACTGTATTTACTTTGTGTTCAGCTGTGTCATTGGACACAGCTGATCACGTGGTAAAAGGCCACTGTGATTTTCCTTTTACCTTGTCATGTGATCAGCTGTGTCCGTAGGACACAGCGATCACAGACAGCACCAGGTGCGTGCACCCTCCCAGAACTGGACAACCGCGCTGCAGCCGTCATTCGGCTATAGCGCGGTTGTAAAGAGGTTAAAGTGACACAAAAACTTCCCAATACTTACCTTTCTTTCAAATGTCCCAACATCCTTTGCAGTATCTTCTACCTGGGTACTTCCAGGTGCCAGGCTGCAGCCATCTTTATTGGCTGACACAAGATAACATCACTCCTACACATGCACAGGAGTGCAGTCATCCCAGCACACAGGTACTGTGCCAGAATGTAAACCAAGCTGCACTTGCGCATCTCCATGTACATTCCAAAGCAGACTGCAAGCATACAGGTAGGTTCCTTTTATTGCAGAAGAGTTATTACCTATCTGCTGGCAGTTTTGGCAAGTGAGGCTTTAGTTCCCCTTTAAGAAAGGTTTATACTGTATATGTCCTTATTAAAGGATAGGTTCACCATTGGGGACACGTTACATGTTCCACCCGTTTTTTAAAGTGGAACATGTAACATGTGCCCACTTCTGCAGCTGCTGCCCAACATCCTTTGCAGCTGTCGGCTTGTAGTTCTCAATGATCTAACATGGCTCTGTGCAGTGCTGTGCTAGTTCATTCAGTCTTGCCCTGTCAGTGTTAAATTGTCTGCCCGTACGAGGTACAAGCACACAGATGCAGGAGACCTGCATGACCATTCTGCTGATCGCTGGTGCAATGCTTTACAGGTTGCAAATAAAAACATAAATAAAGTCACTTTTTTTTTTTTAATCTGCAAAAAATTTACATTTATTATCATTTTTTTTTTTTTTTTTTAAGTGAACTCATCCTTTAAGCATTACCTCCTTTCCCTCAGTCTGAATCTTCAGCTTTATGTCAGGGATCAGTGTAACAGTTGCATGCGGAACACTGGGGAATTACTGTGATGAATTGTAATACTTTGCAGATTGAGACTAGGCATCATATGTAAAAGAGACTAATGTTGAGTATGAATGAATATTTTGGACTGCATATGTATTGTTCCCAGCCTAAACCTTTATATTTGCATTGTCTGTGTGTGTATGGTAAATCTCCACTTGTCATTTAAACTGGTCAAAAACTAATCTTATAGTGTATTAAACCCACACCAAAAATGGAATATATTGCAGCCCATGGTGATCTGGCCGGTAACATGGCTACCTTATTGGAGTGCCCCCACTATGGATAAAGGAGCTCAGGGAGCAGATTTGGACAGCAGTATTGTCAGTCTTGGGGAAGGGGAGAGTTAGTGCATTTAAATCTGCTAGTACATCTAACATATAAGCAGTTACAGCAAAGTTGTTTTGTTTTTTTCCTTTTGGGATAAAATATTTCATGAATAAATAAAAACTGATCATTTTAAGCACCCCTGCCAATTGTAAATGATCTGTTTCATCCCTGGAACTGCAAGAGAGCTTTTCTGTTGAAAAACAATAGACTTACTGGCTGGATCACCAGGTGAAAATAGAAGAAAGAAAGCCAAAAAAAGCCTTTTGAGTTTAATACTGCTTTAAGCTATTTTTCATTAATTGAATAATGATCATTGGATGGAGCCAAGTAGCTTGAGAAATATGTACTCTAAGTATTTGCAACAAAGAATGCAATGGGGGAAATTGACTAAAACTGGGGAGTGCAAAATGTGGTGCAGCTCTGCATAGAAACCAAATAATTTCCAGGTTTTATGGTGACAGCTTAATTGAACAAGCTGGAATTAGAAGCTGGTTGGCTACCATGCACAGCTGAGGGAATTGGCAAATACAGTGCCTAGAAAAAGTATTCATACCCCTTGAAATTTTCCCCAATTTGTCATGTTACAACCAAAAATTTAAATGTATTGATTGGGATTTTATGTGATAGACCAACACAAAGTGAAGTGGAACATAATTGAAGTGGAAGGAAAATATTTATTTGTAAAAAAATTTGAAAACCATTTATCATTTTCCTTCCACTTCACAATTATGTGCCACTTTGTGTTGGTCTATCACATAAAATCCCAATAAAATATTTTTACATTTCTTGTTCTAAAAAACTGGCAAGTGTTGCTTTTCAGGGTTGGACTAGGTTAGTAGGGAGCTAGTAGGGAAGACATTATATTCTATTTCACACTTGCTTTTCAAGTATAACTAAAGCAAGACTCTTTTTTTATTTTTTATTTTTTTTAGTTTTGAATAGCATGGAGAGGGATTAGAACACCTACTAGGTTTTACTGCAGTCTGTGCCCACATTAGGGAGATTTTTCTCTCTCGATTTGAAAGTAAAAGAAAATCCCAAATTTTGGGTTGTCCCAAGTAATAGTAATAGACACTAATTCAGGTCACCTGGTGGTCCCAAAGGAATTCCCTTAATTTGCAGGGACTTCCTCTCATTTCCTGTTTTGGCTATGAGGCAGGAAGTGATGGTAAATCTCTCCAGTGGGACACAGATGGCAAAAAATAAACTGACAGGGGTTATTACCCTCCCTTACTCTATCCAAAATGGAAGAAACAATTTTGCTTATAGTTCAAATTTAAAGTGATTCTAAAGGTACATTTTTTTTTTTTGTAAAATAACAAACATGTCTATACTTACCTGCTGTGTGCAGTGGTTTTGCACAGAGCAGCCCAGATCCTCCTCTTCCCCGCAGGCTCTCCTGTCTGCTCCTGTAGGGTGCCCCCACAGCAAGAAGCTCGCTATGGGGGCACCCGCTGCTCTGTGTGTCCATTCACACACAGAGCCGTGGCTTAGCACCACCCCCTCTCTCTCCATATTGGCTGACCGGCTGTGATTGACAGCAGCGGGAGGCAATGGCTCCCACTTGCTGTCTCTGCCAGTGAGGAGGCAGAGACCCAGGACAGCTGAGGCTGTCACTCACATCGCTGGATCGTAATGAGGCTCGGGTAAGTATTGGGGGGGCTGCACACAGAAGGTCTTTTGCCTTCATGCACTTTAACACAGAAAGTCCTGCAGCAAGATCTACAGCATTCCCATGCCATTGTCCCAAGTATTTTGGGCCATCAGTTACTCTTTATATTTCTCACTGGTAATGTATCTTTGTGTTAGCAATTGAGTATATGTCTGCTTTAACTGCATTATCATTTTGCATGTCAAAGTTATAAATGTTAAATTATCTTCTGTCTTTTTAGGGTCTCCTGGATGGTCTATAGCTACTCCTTCCTTCTGTCTTCACCACCCTCATTTTGCATTGGTGACTTTTTTCTGTTTTCTCCATTGTGTGCAAGATGATGCATTGTCCTTCCATATGATGGAACAAGATAATGACCTGTGACGATCTGGATATTTAATAGGCAGTGCCATGCCTCTCTGGTGGAAAAAAGGCACCTAGTCTATGCCAAACAAAATGCATTAGGAATCCAATTTGCAGGCCCACACTTTTACACTCCTGCCTTTTTATTTTAATTTTGCATTTATTTTTTTTTAGTTAATATTTGCATTAGTCGGGCCTTCCCTAATGTTATTGAGAATGCCCAGGATCTTCAAGCACAATTCTAGTTGCGACTGGGACTGTTCATGAGATAGATGACTTGCATGCTATGTAATGTTGCTTTTGTACAGTGGCCTGGTATGGGCCCACCAAACCATTGATCTGTTGCTAAAGACTGATGAAAAATCTGCCAAAATGCCCTCCTGAAGCAACAGGATGCTTGAGCCTCTAAGAATAAGAGCAAGAACTTTTAGATTAGCTACTCTAGAATTCTGTCACTTTAGGTCTACCCAAACTGATCTCGGTAATGACGACCATTATAATAATAGTAATAATATTGACAATGATGATAAGTAATAATAAATTGCTTCCACTCATAAGGAATTCTGCTGTAAATGTTCAATATATTTATTTGAAAGATCTGACCTCGAGATTGTAAACAAGTGTAGTAACCTATAGTGTTGTGTTGGTGCTTTTGTCTGTAAAAAGAAAAAAAAAAACAAAAAAATACCCTGATGAAATACAAAAAAAAAAACATTCCTGCTTTTTTCCCATTCATATGCCAATGGTTAGGTATTGTCTAGTGCATGTCAGACTACATGCGATATTACGTCAACATTAACGATACACAGGCAGTATTCCCCTCATCAAATGCCTTGTGCCATCCGAAAAAAAAAACTACCAACATGATTTACTGCACAGCGGAGAGCAGCTGACAGAGCAAATTGGGCCTTTTTTTTTTACCAAATACC